TCCGACAATCATCCTGGTGATCGACCTGCACTTCCAAGGCGACCAGTGATGCGACCTGTTCGGATACGGACATCAGCCTCCAGAAGGAATCCGTGATTTAGGACTATTCGGAAACTCAAAATTCCTGACTTTTGTGCACGAGTGCTACAGGGAATGCTCAACCATCCTTGATGTCAATCCGGATTTCCACTTCGTTCCTGAGCACGAGAGACCGCATGGAGTTAAGGTATTCTGGTTGAAGGCAAGATTCAATGATTACTGGCATCCAACACTCCAAGGTGAAGGACCTCATGCGGAGAAGCAACACATGGACTTCATCAAGAAGGTCTACAGCGTCTGCTGCTACACCAATGCTCAATCCGAAGTTTACGGAACTGACATCATCCCGATGGTATGCCACAACGGCAACATTGATCTCGACAAGACCGTCCAGAATGTCGAAAAAGTTTGCAAATACTTCAACATGGATCCATCCAAGGCGAAACAGATCATCCTCTGGCGAATTGAGAGAACGAGCAGATCGTTTTTCGGATGTCTTCGACATGTTTCAAGGCATGGAATCCATAAGGAATGCAAACGGCAGGTGGAAATGGGTCCTGATGGATCCGTCGAGCTCTATGACGCATTGACCTGCATCACACATGCCAGGAACTTCATTGGAAATAAGCCAGGGCTTCTCTTGATGGCTATGTTCCCGAGCTATGGAAAATCACGTTTCGAAATTGCGTTCGTATTTCCATCCGTGGACGGGTCATATAATGAGCGTAAGGCACGGGGAGAAATTGTTCCAAGGAATCGATGGATCGACAAGCTCAACACCAGATCCGCACAAAATGCACTCAGGCCCGATGGCAAGGACTTCTATGCTGATCCAGAGATGGAGTTCTATGTGAGGTGCAACAGCGGACACACACGACAAGTTGAGATCCAGTCCTTTGGACGACCCCTGTACTCTGAGCAGAAAGAGCCTCATTACGACGAACCGGACTATGATTTGCCAACGGAATCCATTCCTCCAAGTCCGCATCCGTCAAGATCCGAGGCGTCTCATGGAGATGAAAGCACAGCTCAGCCCAAGTACAGAATGCGAAGGCCGGCACCACCATCCATTGAAGAAGAGAGAAAGATCAAGCCGTTCTCGAAGAAGCCCGTCACATTCATGTTCCATGCAACCTATGGAAATCAGCTCTACAGCATCATGGAGCACGGGCTCAAATCTGGGAAATCCCAGTCAAACCCTTCGGGGAGACTGCACGTCCACATGGCATGCATCGATGACGTCATCCTCGAAGACGATGAGTCAGAAGCCGCATTGACCCATGTGCCGGCAGGAAGAGATGCACTGCTGATCCTTGCATTTCTCAAGGACCAAGACTATGGCATCCGTCTTTCCGAAGAGAGAACAGCGTTGACAGACAAAACCATCGAGGCAAGAAACATTGTTGCAGCATTTGAACCCGATGGCAGCCTCATGGCGAGCAACAAGTGGATCATGAAGAAGCATCTCGATTATGAAGACTTCGAGATGTACGACACCAAGATCCGCGAATTCGCCGATGCCTTCTTCAAGCATGTGAATTCCACCAAGCACAACAAGGAACAAGATACTTCCTCAGAGACCAAGAAGAGATGGCATTCCACCGATCAGGACTCCACTGAAGGAGAAATGATGGAACCCTCCGGGGAAAGATCCGTCAAGCCGAAGGTCATCGTGGAATATCACAACTCAGAGAACCTAGATGAGTTCATCCAAGAACTCAAGGGAATCTATCTCGAAACAGATATGAACAAAAAGGACGCAGAGGAAGAGCTCGCTGGGATCAAAGAAGAATTCAAACGCTTCATGAAAGAGTTCAACAAAGATGTGAAAAGAGCTCGCCCCAATTTGACAGAGTGCGAGAGAGCCTCATTGGCACATGTCGATCCTGATGTCAATCTCGGTGAAGAAGAATTCTACTTCCCTCATCGAGGAGAATGTCCCACCGTTGACGAGTACAAGCAAGCTCAACCAGGATCCGGATATCCAATCAAGCTTCCGCTTGGATTGAAGAAGCTCAGGTCACAGGATGACCCGAAAATCATCCGAGCCTATGCTGATATCCTGGGATCGCTGATGCAGCCGACTGACCGTCCATCCGTGGACTATCTCAACATGCATGAGTTCACCTCAACCATAGCGATCAACATTCTTACTCTGAACCATGGAAACCTCACAAGGAATCCAAAGCTGGACAACAGGGAGTGCAACATGCCGATGAAGGATCGACCGATCGTCAAGATGATGATGCAGAATAGTGCACACATCTTATGCCTGAATGAAGCAGACGCATTCTTCAGTCCGAACGATGAGAAACCCAGAGAGCTCATCAAAACGTTCATCCGATACGGTTACAAAGGCATCGTGATCAAGAAATGGTCATCCAGACCGATCGCATGCTTTGTCCGCGGCGGACCATCTGCACGAGTGGAACTTCTGGCAAGACATATTTCCACCGAGCCAGAATTGGGGAACCACATTCGGAATGTTCAGATGTTTCTTCGGAATTAAAGGAGATGGCACTGATCCCGAATACGAAATTCCGACCTCGGATTGCTTGGCAACCACAGGAACATCCATGCTTACTGAATCCAAGAAGTACATTGGATCGAGATTGCCAGCACGCACCATTGTCCAAGGATATGGCCGAGACAAAGAGATCGTCGTTCTCCACATCGCGCAGAGTGATGAATTTCGTGGCATGATCCCGAAATCATCCGACAAGTCACATCGAGAGTATGACGACCGCCACATAACGAGGGCAGAACTTCCATTCGCAACCATTGGAGTCTTCCACATCCATCCTTCACTTAGCCATGGAGCAGCAAAGGAAGATCTTCAGAATGAAATCATGCCGCTCGTGACCTTGTACCGATGCGATGCGATCACCGGAGACGCCAACAAACACCTACAGCAAACTCCAGCATGTCTACAATCCGACCAACGGTCTCGTGAACATCCTCATGAGAGCATATAAGGAACTGTGGAATGCAACGAAGAATTTGCCACTCGTGGACAGAATGGAGTAATCCGTAGAGACTTCGTGCACCCTGAAATCCATTGTCCGTCATCACCTGCGCATGAAATGCGGATCAGGTTTTGATCGAACATTCCCAGATGTGATGATGCCTATCGTATTTGGATGGGGCAAAACGAACATCCAGCAGGACTTCCGGAAGATCGAGATGAACAGTATGGATGATGAACAACTGGAATTCATGCGGAACCATCCAACCAAGGCCATCTTCGATTACCAGGTCTCATCCGCAGAGCGCTACAAGCATATGAACAACGAAATGTTCATGAACGGCTCGCAGGACTCCGACTCCCACAGTCCTCTCATGGTTTACACCCGCAGCAAGTCTGCAACCAGTAAACGCAGCTCTGAGAGATACCAGGATTACATCAAGAAGAAGCAATCATCCTGGACCCCGCAGGAGTACAAGGACTACAACAAGCAGTGGGGATATCAGAAGCAGTGGAAGGACTATAGCACTTCGACCTGGAATGATTATGGAGACCATGGCAGTCAATCCGACAGCAGCCGCCGATGGTATCGTTGATCCGACTGACCATGCAGATACGTTCAGCGCCACGAACAATCCAGATGATTGATCCTCCTCGTCTACAAGACTATACCATGAGTGAGAGATCGTTCCCCGTGTACATAGCGTTGTACATCACCCTTTGATACAATTAGGTATCCAAGAAGAAGCGTACATAGTGTTTCCCATTTCGAAGGCCAATACATTTCATCCAGCAGAAAAAGGATGAATCCGGCACTTTTAATCGCATGGCTACGGCACACATTAAGGCTACGGTCAAAGGCCATGAAGCCAATAGTATTTCATACTTTGTGCTGGAGATCAAAAGAAATTTGTGTCTGTTTTGTGTTCTGTTTTTCAGACCATTGATCTCCCGCAACATTTGGCTCAAGGGCCCCTTTTGCATAATCACGACCATCCGAGCGTGAGGACAAAAGAGCCATTGCAGGCCGCTTAGAGGATTATCCATCAGAGAATCCACCAGGGACAATCCATCCTCCAATCATCCTTTACTGGCATATTGGACTCTCTCCGGAATAGATCCAGGGACCAACAACGACCTCAACTACCACAGGGTTCCAGTTCCCTCCGGGGATAGGCACCTGGGGCAGTGGGCCTCACCCCCCCCCCCCCGTGCCCTACGTATCAGACGTCGGGCGGGGGGGGTCAGGGGAGGGGGTTATCCTCTATCCTTCCTCTCTTAGGTTCTTAGGTGTCCAACACGCAGCAATGTCGGCGGACGCACCTCAGCACGTGCTCAGAACTGCTGCAGCGTGAAATTCAAGCAACTTGGGCAACCAACACCCACCCCGTCCAGTGTTTCCACTTGTCCGTCTGCCAATGCGTCCATCCCATGAATCCGTTCATGAGTCCATGAATCCGCGTTCATGTTCATGAATCCACAAACCCATGGATCCATGAATTGATAATTCCGTGAAATCTATTGTGTAATCTATGAATCCATGAATCCAGCCAGCCGGCCAGCCAGCCAGGCAGGCAGGCAGGCAGCCAGCCAGGCAGGCAGGCAGGCAGCCAGCCAGCCAGCCAGCCAGCCAGCGTCTCCCTCCCCTCCCCTCCCCTCCCTCCCTCCCTCCCCTCCCTCCCTCCCTCCCTCCCTCCCTCCCTCCCTCCCATCCATCCTCCACCCCATCCAATTTTGCGAATTCTTGTGACCATGGCAGTTTCATGGCAGTGCAGGTTGCCTGCTTGTACCTCGCCAAACAGTGGTCAACATCACTGCTCCCCAAAGCGCGCCAGGCGGCCAGCCGACCGGCGAACCAACCAACCCGCCAAACACTAGTGGGACTGCAGGGAACACCATCCGGATTTTGGCGCTCGCTTCGCTTTGCTTTTTGTCTTCATCGGTCACTCAGCCGCCCGCATGGTCAGGTTCAAGGCTTTCACCCGCCTGCACTAAGGAGACATGATCAGCCTGCGCAGCCACGTGAAGGGCCAGGTGCGCAAAGTGGCATGCTTTTGGCTTCAAAAGGTTGCATTGCTTTCGATGCGTTGGCTGGCATAGAGACTCACGAATTTGCCCGGCTAGAAACAAGCGGTAGATCACAGGATAATCTTGGGGTTGAATTGTTGAGGACTGCTAGCCGCAGCCTCGAATGTGTTTTGCTGAAAAGACTACGCTTCATGACCTTTGCAGACTTTTGTGCAGCAAACATGAAACCAATCTGTTTGTTGATGCCTGAGAGGGTTGACACCGGAAACTTGTGCCAGTCGCTGCCCAGTGGGGCTGTTGGGGTGGGGGATGTGATGTGTAGTTTTGACCTGACCCAGCTGGACAAGCTCGTGAACCAGCTCTGCCGCGAAGTGCCTCAGATGAGCCCCAGGAGCCTCAAGGCGCACCACACGGGAGGGGTCACGGGGCCGCGACTTTCGGAAGTCACTGGTCAACCGTAGAATTGGCTCAAAGTCATGCAAGTTCGCTCACGGTGCTGCGACCGCGATGTGTGACCCGGGACTCGTAGGCTATGTGACTGACTTGGAAGGTAACCTGGATCTATGGGAGCGATACGTTGAGAAATCTCAAGTGCTCTTTCGCCAGGAGGGCAGCCTTCTGCTCCGAGACGATGCCCAGTTTGTCTTTGGTGGCGATGCTGTGGATCATTACTCAGGTGACTTGCGTATCCTTGAGGACTTGCTCACCTTAAAAAAACAGTACTCTGACCGAGTTCACTTCGTGATCGGCAATCGCGATGTCAACAAGCTGCGACTGCCTTTCGAGCTCTCTGAACGCTTCATCAGCACTTGGCCACTTCAAGAACATCCAGGAGTGTACTGGCTGGAAGAGGAAGATCGGCCCAAGAACTGCATCCCAGAGGCGGGGAACCATGCAGCGGAGCATTTGAAATGGATCCTTGCACGGACCATGGGTGCGCCCCGGGCCTTCGAACGTCGCCGAGAGGAGCTACAGCGCGGGGGTGCAGAGGTGGATGACGCCGCAGTGGTGCAAAGCTTCGTGCAGGAAGCACGCCCCGGCGGACTGTTGTTCGAATACTTGACACTGGCAGAGTTGGCTGTGAAGGTTGGGGATTCGCTCTTCGTGCATGGCGGCCTGCCTCGTTCGGGCCTGGAGTGGCGGCCTGGGTGGCTGCCGCCCTCGGGAGAGAGCTTGCCGCTGGATGCGTGGCTGCAAGGCCTGGCGGACTTCAAGTCGCGGCAGCTGGCGCAGATCCTGGAGCCTGGGCCTGGGCCGCTCCCCGAGGATTCTTGGTCCATGCGGGGTGGCTACGATCATCCTCAGCCCGGCGCCGCGCTGATGCAGTATATGATGCGGGATCTGCCGGATGGCTCGCGCCAACCTAGCATCATCTACAACGGCTTCTTGGGGGACGACTACCAGCCACTGGAGCTGGATGCGTCGTCGCGGCAGTGGCTGCGGGAAGGCGGAGTGCGCCGAGTCGTGGCCGGCCACCTGCCTCATGGAGACTCTCCGTTGATCCTGGTCTACGAGGACATCACGGTCATCACGGCGGACATCTCCTATGCGAGCGAAGTCGTTTGGGAGGCTGAAGACGAGACATCTCGAGACCAAGCGGTGTGTGAAGTGCTGCTGGGTGAGGAGGGCCGAGTTCACGGTGCCCTGGCCACAGGTTGCCCCTTCGAGGCTCGACTGGACGATCCGCTACTGGGCACCCTTCGTGGCGAGCATGCCGAGTGGCGCGTTAAGGGCCGTGCCGATGGCCGCCTGATCCTCAGCAAGAATGACAAGTGGGACTTCACCTGTCGCCTCGAGTAAAAAGAACATCAATTGCGCGTTGACTGCCGCAGGCTTGCGGACACCCTCGAGCACATAGCGCATGGGACAGCTGAGAAGCTCATGGATAGAGGCCCTTACGTTCTAGCAGCAGCAAGATTTTGACTCTGGTGGAGCTGGGAGCAAGGTGTAAACGCACTGAGAGCAGCAACCTTCTTCTCTGACTTGTTGTATTTGTTTGGCCTTCCACAACCTCCTCAAGTTCCTTAAGTGCAGCTGCTCTGTTGCACAGGGCCAGTTTGCTGAATCCGCCAAAACAAGAAGCCCAGCCACTTTGAGAGTGTATGACGCGTCTATTCTCATAGCGTACAATCCACGAAGCGATTTCATCAGCTCAGTCCCTCTAGCTTTTGGGGTTGGTGCCAGAATACTTGCATCAGTTCCAATTTGTCATAATACATGCGCGTCGAAGCCTGGAGCCGAACCCGTCAATCTGCTTGACTTGCGGCAATCATGGGTGGCACGGCTGCACCACATCCAGGTTTCAGTGCCTTGCGCTCGCGTATGGAGACCTATAATCGCTGAAGGCCACTTGCGCCTACTTGGTCCACTTGGTCCACTTGGTCCACTTGGTCCACTTGGTCAACGCTCTTGCCGAGAAAGTGGACAAGTGGCCGTGGCCGCCACTTACGTGGCCGTGGCCACTTGGTCCACTTGCTTGCCGAGAAAGTGGACAAGTGGCCGTGTCCACTTGATCGACTTGGCCACTTGGTGCATTTGCTTGCCGAGAAAGTGGACAAGTGGCCGTGTCCACTTGATCCACTTGGCCACGTGGTCCACTTGCTTGCCGAGAAAGTGCACCAAGTGGCCAATCGGACCAAGCGGCCAAGTGGCCCTTGCGCTCGTTTGCTCCAGTTTGTGACTTTGGGCTTTGGGCATTAGCCTTTGAATTGCTTTTCTTTACAGAGGTGCACACAGATATGATTTGCTGCATCAAACAATTCTTGCATGGAGGCACTTTCCTTTTTGCGGTGCTCAGTTGCACTCAATTGCAGCCTTTTTGCATATTTGGAATTGCAAGAAACGCAACAGCGCAACACACAGAGAGGGCTGCAATTGTGCAGGCAGATGCCGCTCCACGCAGCAGCAGCCGGAAGGAGGCAGGTGGTACGGTGAGGCTAAAATGTGTAGGGATCTGCTTCGAGATTGGTCTTTGTCTCGGTTGTGGGTTTTGGTGCCGTCAACCCTGCAACCACCCATGGTCCGAAATCAAGACAGCCCTGGGTTCACAGCCCATCCCATGGTGACCTGACTCCCGGATGCCATCGGAGTCGCTTTTAGCAGGAGGGCTTCGCGGAGGAGCTCCGGCACCTGGAAGCACGTACCGAGTCCCTGGAGGACGCGAAGGGAAAGGCACATAGCGCAGGTCCGTAGGCGTAGGCGTCGTAGGCATTTGGGGCATATAGCGACGTGTCTAAATGAGAGTCTTTTCGGATGGTGCAATGCCGATTGGGCCTCAGGACATGATGTCGCTGATTCTGCAGAACGTCTCGGAGCTCTCAAAGCGCCTACCTCAATCCCGCGAGGCCGGAGCACGAGCAGAAGGTATCAGATCGAACAACCTATCATGACTGTTTGCATGCACAAGCGATATCGACTTTGTGCTTGAATGTGCCGCCAATCCCGCTTCTGTTTCCTTCCTGGCGGAAGGAACATGCCAGGGGGTCATGCGCTTTGTCAAGTCCAGACCTGTCACGTGGTCTTCCTTCCTTCCTTCCTTCCTTCCTTCCTTCCTTCCTTCCTTCCTTCCTTCCTTCCTTCCTTCCTTCCTTCCTTCCTTCCTTCCTTCCTTGACTTCGAAGCCCCGGGCATCTTTCGCTTTGGCTCTTCAGCCGGCCTCTCCGCCAGGTCCAAACCTGGCCACGAAAGCCCTCCAATGCTTGGTGACGCTGGGAGGCGTCTTCTGAGAAATCGGCTGACAGGCAGTTAAGACGTGGAGCAGCCTATGTCGTCCGCCACGTCTAGTGCGCATGTCTGCGCTTCAAGCAAGACGTTTGCTTGCAGCTACGTTGATATCTGGTATGGTGTTTGTTTCATTTGCGTGTTTGCAATATTTTCTTGTTTGTTGCTGGTTTGCTTGTTTGCTTATCTTTCAGTGCAGCCAAGCTGCCTCAGCGCTATGTGGGTATGTCAAATGTCAAAGATGTTATTGGACCACTTTTTGCAAAGTGTGCAACATAACGCCAACCATGTTGAGCTGTGAACCATTTTGGGAGCCCACCCCCATCTTGTTGCTTGCATGCGGCAAGCCATCTGAATTGCGGCTGCTTTGTCTCTGTGTGCGTGTGTGCGTGCGTATGTGCGTGATCAAGTGAGACAGTATGGAAGTGCGTGTGCAGTCTCACCTGCCGTACACCCTGAGGGTTGCGGGCTCCGCAGTTGACATTCTCGCACATTTGAGTTTGCCTCCGTTGACCTATGCAGAGACACCATTTACCAAGTTTCACTCCTCGACTCAATACCAGGAAGACAAATTTCAAGGGGAGCTTCGTCTTGTTTGCAATCAAGCAGGGATTTATGCTTCAGAAGCGCATTGCGATGAATCCGGTTTACGTCAATTCGGGTGACTTGGCAGACCAACCATTTGTACATGTCCTGTACTGTACGACTGCCCGAGGTTCGTGGGAGCTGCCCGCATGAGACTCAAGCATATGTGTTCAGTCAAAGTAAATGGGAGAGGGGCTCGGGACAGCTTTGCTTCAAGCTTCGTACTCAGTCTAAGGTGTCTCCACCACTTATAGCTTTGCCTGCCGTGCTGCTTCTGGCTTCAGCCATGGCCCTTGGCTCAGACTTGAGCATGTTTGTTGCAGGGCCATCCATCACATTATCAAATGGTGCTTGGACGTCGGACATCGGATGGCGGCCATGTTTCCCTGCACCACTGCACCAACATTCATTCGGGGTTCATATTTTGTTGCACAACCAATGGGCATTGCCTGTCGAGATTTGCGGTCCCAAGGCAAGCCTTTTCTGGGCCTCTTGCACGGAACCAGGCATCCTGCCACGTCAGGCTGGCATGGGACAGATGTTGGTCTGGCAAGAGAACCCTGCAACGAGATGTAGGAAAGTATTCCTGTGCTGTGGGCGTTGACGACAGCCAGGCCTTTGCTGCAAGGCGGAACTACAGCACTATGAAACCCGGATGCCTTTGCACTAGTTTAACATTGGCCGGTGCATTTTGCAAACCGGAGCCTTTGCTCAAGCTACCAACAAACAGGCACATCTTATTCCAGCAGTACTTACTGGTAGTTGCACCAGCTCATTCCATTTTGTGTAGTCTGGCAACCAGACACGAGACAATGGCAGAAATAAGTGGTCTCGGTCACCTGAGAGGTGCTCTTGATTGCCATATTGATCACATCGCCCTCACGAAGCATCACCAAAGAGCTTGCATGTGTTGTGCGGCTTTTAGCCCATTCCGCTAAATCTCTTGGCGTCTCTCCCACGTTTGCTTGTATTGCAGGCAGTCCAACTTTTCCTGCAGGATCCCAAGCGTGGCTTTGCCGGAGTGGGACGGCCCCCACGCGTGGAGCAGATCATCAATGGCGTCAAAGTGAGCTGGCCGACTGAGAAAACAGGTTGTTGTTTCCTGTTTTTGTCGGGGCACTCTATACAATGACTTTTGATCGAAACTGCTTGAGCTGCCTTCCAAGTCGTTGCAAGATCCACCAGATGGAAGCTTCATTTCTTGCCCGGATCAAATGGAATTCTGTAGAGCCGACCCTCGCTGTTGAGTTGTTGGTTAGAATATCTGGACAGACCTTCGACTCACGATTCCTTGCCAGGTATCTTTAAAGTGGTGCAGCACATGCGAGATCTACAGGCCGTGGCCCAAGCTTTGGATCTGCACGTCCCGGTTGGAGGCTGTCACTTGAGGCCGCCACGGTCAAAGCACTGTGCCTTTTGCAACAATTGTGTCGGGGCCTTGGGGCCTTGACGCGAGTGGCTGCTTTCGGGACTTGCGGCACTGGGCACGTGCAAGCCCATGACACAGCATGTCTTCAGGGAACAGGCCAACCCAGAGGCCAGATTGGCTTGTGTTGAACAGCTGGCTGGCTGGCCGAGGTGATGAAATTTGATCACCATTGCCCATGGGTCTCAAACTGCATCGGAATCCGGAATTACAGGCCGGAATCGGGCTAAACGGTTTCGCACAGCATTTGTTGACACTTTAAAAGCATCACACCTACACAAGCATTGGCACCTACACACAACAATGCATATATATATATATATTAATAGGCATGACATAGGGCACATAAGTAAATAAGTAAACACAAATAAATAACTATACATATATATATATATACACCATATATATATATATAATATGCATTCACACTCACAGACATGACAGGCGACAAGGCTCGGTTTCTACAAGAACATTCTGGCAGACGCTTGCTCATTGTGGATGTACTCGCCAACCAAAACTACTGACGAACCATAAATGGTCCATCCCCAGTTACTCAGTTGCTTGTCCACGTAAGCTCTTGCATGTTTCTCTCAAGGGCTTCATTCCAATTCAAACCCAACTCAATGCAAGCTCTCCATGCAGATACTTCGTCTGCTTTGTCCTGTCAACGTGGCGGCCTTAGCTCTTGAGAATGGCAAGCAGAAAATTGCAAGCTACAAGTTGAATCTATGATGAAATAGCTGGCACTTGTTGCTGTGCTGCCCACGTCTTCCACTTGTACGTTGGATCAACTGAAAGTGGACTCTGAAAACCGGCAAGCTTCCACGAAGACTTGGCTACTTGCTGACAGGTTCTTGCTAGCTCTGTACGTCTTGGCGGCCTCCGCCTTGATGGGTTGACGGTGTTTGGCGGGTGAGAGCGAGCATAAGTTGCAAGCTGGGGCTAGGGTTTTGAGGCTCTGCGATTCGAGAGATCGATGGCTTGGAAGAGTCTGCCTGAAGGCCTTGGTGCTCATTTGCATGCAGCTGGTCTGGGACATCGAACAACGTGGATTCAAGAAGTGTCCTGGGCCATCCCGGGCGGTGCCGGGCACCACTCAGGGCACATTTGGAGGCTTTGGCCTATGCTGAGGTTTGACAGCAACTTGATTTCAGCAACCCAGAAAGGCTTGCAAGGGTGGTTTGCTTGAAACAGTGTTTGCGTGTGCAAAGGCCGGCTCGCACCCCTTCGGCTCAAAGCTTTCACCCGCAGACGGGCCCAAGAAGGGCACTGTCTCGTGGAGTTATTGGTTCAGAGTGGGTTCTACGGCCATCACGGCAACATGATATCAAAACACCATCGATTCGATTCCCATAGGCAGACATCCCAGGATGCCTCAGCCGCGATTTCTAGAAGCTTTCCTTTTTCTCTCACCGCTGGACCGGCAACAAACTTTCTAAAGCTCTTGACTCCGGTTGCGACTCTTTGCAGCACGTTTAAGCAACGAAAACCCGATGCAGTGAGAGAGATGCGGAGCAATGGGCACCTGGCAGACCTAGACCGGAGTGGAGCGGATGTTGCTCGCAAAGCAACTAGGTGACAGAAATTTGAGGTCATTTGCCTATGGAGGATAGATGTGAGCCACTACAACAGGATGCAATGTATGCATGTCACAAAGCAAAGTTTTCCACTATCATTTTAAGTGAGTTTACATAGCTCCAATTTGGCCTCGGCCAAAGTTGATCACACTCAGATCTGATTCCCCATTCTTTCAGCCATCGTTCTTTTCCCAAAGCAGCTATTTCCCCAGGATTTCTGGTGGTTTTCTAGAAAGAAGGATCCCTGGAAAGAATGGGAAGTTACCCTAGATCAGACTGTGGGCCAACTTTGCTTGAGGGTGTTTGGTTTGAGTTTCTTGGCCTCCAAGGGCAGCCTCGCCCTGGAGCGCTGGCTCAGGGTCCAACCCCCCCGCGACTCCGCGCCTGCGGGGGTCTCGGCGCGTTTTGAAGGAATAACATGCCCGTCTGATGTGTGACATCCGAAAGGGGCAGGTGGAAGCATTCAATGCAAGTCACGCGTGACGTCGTTGCAGGCAATTTAGTTCATTGGTGACGTACACGTCTTGCTTTGGAACAGTTGACACCTGGACTTCTAGGCCGCCCCTTGAGGGCGAAGCCACTGCCAGACTGGTGCAGGCGGGTGGATCCGAATGTACGCAGGTCGCAGCGTTTCGTGAGCCTGTCCATGAATTGGCAAGGATCCACCATACGCAAATAAACAAACCAGTTGTTACAAGAGGCCTTTCGAAAGATATCACTCCAGTGAGGCGACAGCAAAGCGATCCCATAGAAAGGCCTAAGGCTTGAAAAAGAGTGAAGGAGCGTTCAGAGAGGTTCCTCGCACAACTTGGGCGCTGAGGGCCTGAAGAAGCTGCAGGACAGTGCTGAGCGCTTTGCGGAGCCCTCGGCTTGTGTCGTGTCCGAAGTCAATTTGTCAGTTTCCGGCATCAAGGGCCCTTGGGGATTGGCCAAATCTCACAAAAGAAGGCCAGACACGATTTGCCCGCTCTTGCTTTTTAAGATGCGCTCTTTGCTTTGGTTTTTGTCTTTTAAGATGCCGCACTTTGCTTCCTTTGAGCTTAACTTAACCTCTAACTGTTTGGTGCTCAGTGTCCTGTTTGTCTCTGTGCAAGCTGGGCACATACCTGAGGCACCCTGTCTAAGCGCCCGACCACTTCGCGCCTTGCCCGCACGTGGGAAACCTTGCAGTTCACAGTCTGACTGTCAGTCTGATTGGATGGGTACAGTACCCACTTACAGTCTTTTGCTGGTTCTGTGTCCACCAGGCTTATTGAGGAGGGCTGACCAACCATGGATGCATGGCATGTACAAGGGCTTAGGTGTGGATCTACATTTTCCAGTTCATTTTGCCAACGTATGTGTAAAGTGGAGATGACTTGATACAGCATTATGATTCAGAGGGTCTGTCCGGAAAACAGATGCATGGACATGCCCGCAAGGTTGGCTTCTGAAACACAAGTAAAGCAGTAGAGTCGTGCGAATCAGGCGTTCATGCGGGCTGGTTCCTTAAAGTTTGTCAACAGTAGGCTATCTACTTGCCCTGACCTGACCAGCAGCCGAAGCCCCACACCTGAGTCCCAATTGTGGTTTTGGGGGGAAGGGACCGAATTAGGGAAGCTCTTTGAACTCCGATTCCAATTGTGAGCCCCATTTTTCGCACGCAGCGGGTGAGCCGCAGGCTCCATCTCCTACTTGGGGCAGGTGGCCAACAGCCGACTTCATGAGGCGTGCTTGTGCCAATTGGGTTGTGATGGATTCGCACAAGGCACCTTGGAAGGCGCTGACATTGAGATATGCACACTCTTCCTGTCTTGTTCGGTATCAGGCCGATGTCGAGCTGGGGGCGCATGAAAGTCAGGCACCGCCAAGCCGAAGCTAAGATATCAGCCTGCTTTGCTGCCAGTGAAGTTTCTCCACGGCCCATTCAATCAGCGCCGCTCACGTCTTGCAGCTCGGGGATTGCTTCATGGTTGGTTAGCCAGGTCTATGCCAACCTCAAGAAGCCGCCTGCCTGGCGCCCAGTGCCGACTGGGCGGCTGGGGCTGCCATGCCGTCCCAACAACCAGTTTTGCAGGCAGATCTCCGGGTGCGTGGGGCCCCTCAGTGCGCTGAGAGAACATGCGCCGTTTGCGCGCAGTGTCAAGCATGCAGCCTGCATGTGTCGCGATGCGCTGAAGCCAAAGCCTTGCACGGAATCGAGCAGTCTCCAAGCTGCGAGGACAGCCTTTGCTTTGCCGTGCTTTGCTTTTCATGCCCTCGGTATATTCACATTGGCACCGCAAAGGTGCTGTTGCAGATCCTCTCAGCAGCCCAACGGCAGACGGTGCGCGCCCAAGACCCCAATTTGATGGGCCAGAGCAGTGGCTACTTCAGAAGGCTCAAGCTGTTCGAGGTCAGACTTACAAAGTTGAGGGTTTTGTGAAGGCCTTGTCAACCGCCGCATGTTCAGGTGCACGGCTTCGACCAGTGAAGCAGGACGGGGAGGATAAATTCTAGCACAGAGGAAAAGCCAGCAGCGTGCGCCAGCTTTATGCAGGCTTCTTGTGCCACACCTGCTTGAGCAAGGATGACATGGTGCTCGAGACTCTGAAGATGCAAGAGATGCGGTACTACAAGGCTGGCGACGTTGCACGGAAGTCCCCAGCCAGATTTTGAATGGCATTCCTGAATTGTATGCCAGTACTGAAAAGCTTCTCAGAACACAGCAGCGGGTTCTCCTACTCCCAGGTGGCTGTGCCCAGCAGGCCCGTGGTGGTGACCGTGACGGTGACCAAAACATCAGGCGGACCAGTTGTAAGCATACCTGTCACGTGGCCGGGCTTACAGGTCCAACGAGACCGTAGCGTTTGGTCCGTTCAGGCAATTGAAGGCGTCAACTTGTTTGGGGCTTCAGTCAGGTATTGCCCCACCCGTCACAGACTTCTACGCAACACGGTCATATCCAAACTATAGTTTTGTGCAAGCATTGCATTCTTTGGTTGTCGCAGCTTGGCTTCGACGCCTGCCCTGTCCGCTTTTGAACAAGGCATCAACCGCACTGTGATAGCTTTCGTCAAAGTCGATAGCGGTCAGACGTGGGCTTAGATTAAATTCGCATGACACACCGCATGAGTCTGCCCATCACTCAACAGCATCGGCGCGATTCTGGCCGATGCTCGCGGCCGTGCGCATGGAGCCCACCACCCTGCGAGCTGGCAGCGAGCCTGTTGCATCTCGTCCGCGCGGTAGAGGCCAGGCTCTGACTTTTTCTTTTGAATCGTGAACGGCCGCTTGGAGCTATTTGGGGCCCAGAGCTTGAACGGATGCATGTGTAAGCACGGCTGGGATTTGTATGTGCCATGGTCAAAAGGCCCTTTCTCCTCACCCTCGTGGCTTTAGGCATTCCACGGATTCCTATGCGACCCATGACGCATAGACTTTGGATGGCTCCGCATTTGCCAGGCTGCCGAGGGTGTAAGGCAGGTTGCCAGCACTGCGTGGAGCCTTGTCTGTAGCCCAAAGCTTGCCACGGTAGATCAGCTGTCACGAGGCATTGGCATAAGAACTCATGCGATTCTGGGACACTGCTAGATGCAACCTGGTTGCCACACTTGAAAAAGACTGCGCTGAATCCTCAAGTTTGCAGTGAGGAATACCCTAAGACGGCATCTCCTCTTTTCTGGACCCTCCAAAGAGACTCTCTGCTACTTGACCCTGGTGTCCACATTATGCCTGCTTATGACGGAGCCCAACCATGCGCTTTCGATATGACCATACCAATCCATCAGAGGAGCCTCCTTGAGATTCATCAATGTGAGTTGAAACCAATCCATCAGAGGAGCCTCCTTGAGATTCATCAATGTGAGTTGAAACTACAGATTGTGGAAGGATGTTCACATCCGACATGGCCACAATCTTGCATGACGCGTTCCCAGCTGAGGCCAGAGAGAACAGACCACGCAAGTGCCGCTCGGAGGGGAAATTATGTTTACCTGAGCTTGGATGTCCCATGTTGACAGCTTGAATTGTATATTTGGCGCTGTGCCAACAGAGCAGGATGATTGACAGGATGCTGAATGATTGTGAAACCTGTCCACATATTTTTGCTTCGGATAGTTGAGCCACCAGCACGTTTTCCAGGTGCTGTGTGCAGTCAGCTTCTGAGGTGCCGCGTGCGGCAGTGGGGCCGCTCGGACAAATGGGGCATGTGGGTGACTCTGAGAGGCGGCCAATGGGCATTGAAAGGATATGTCATTCGGACCACTCCGGTGCCAGTGTTACACTTTGTACAATGCCAACGTTTGGCGAAGCCTGTAAGTGTGACACTTTGGCCATGGCAGGGTTCCCAGGAACACCAGAGATGTGGTGCAACATGGCAGCAGGTCATTTAGAAGGGATATGAATCCATGTTGGGTCATGTTTCCCTTGGCCCTTTGCTCACAGATTCTGACAAAGAATCCAAGGGAGCTCGTATATCTTGGCATCTCAGTGAACGGCATAGCACGAGGCAAGATATTTGTTCGGTGGAAATCCTGACTTGCATGATACTCCGGCAAAGTTCCCAAGAATGGATGTTCTCACATGCTGAACAATGCATCTTGTCCAAGCATCGACCCGCATCGGCTGGCTTGCTGTTGGATGACAGGCTTGCCGCTGCCGAGCGCCCTCGATCAAGAGAGGGGAGGTGTGCTGCGCCAACCATGTGTAAGTTTGAGGCAACAAGCAATGCGCTGGCCCATCTTGCATCACCTGCTCGGTCACCAAAGGCTTCAACTAACATGTGTGAGAGTGTCGTTAACTTTCAGAAGGCAGCATATCCTTTCTGCTGGCCAGTGCTTTTCCTGGTCTCTAAACCCAGTGTGGCAGACTTCAGGACCGAAAGATGTTATCAACAGAGTCTTCGTCAGGCAGCACGGCGAGCACAACAGCTGGCGCAGCGCCTGCTGTGCTCGGGAACCCAAGTGTATTTTGTTTGCTTTTTGTGGGCTTGTTGCTTGGTGTGCTGCTTTACTTCCGAAAAACTGTCATTGGGCAACAGGCGACTGGTTTTCACCGGGGCGTGGTGTAGGGAGCACTACTCAAGGAGTTTTAGCAAGACTGAGCCACATAGGAAATCGCCATCAGTTTTGGAGCCATTTGTTGTTCAGGTTGTTGAGGTGCAACTTGGTCAAATGTTAGTGGTTTGATTTTGCTTGCGACGTGAATAGCTACCCTTGAAACGTTTCATTTTCCGCGGGAACTAGGATCAGACAGACCTGCCAAATGCTCAGCAGATCCGTTCAAGAGCATGCGCAAAGCACTGAGCGCACAACTGCCAAACACCTACATCTGCTCATAAGCACCGGCTCAGCACTGCACACACAGCCACAGACAAAGGCGCAAACATCAGGTTAAACACACCCACTCAACAAGCACACACTAGGCGCTGCTCACGCGCCGACCAGATAGTATGCGCGTCCACTCAACAGCATGCGCTAAACACTCCGCGCACTCGCCACATGATGAGCATTCGCTCAGCACTGCGTACATGCCTTCCAAATTTGAGAAGCACGGCTGCTCAAGAGCATCATTGCCAAGCTTTAGCTTACAGCAGGAATGGCAAGAAATTGTGGTCATCCGTGGAAGAACAGGCGAAGCAGGCGAAGCAGCCGCTGCAATAGTTTTATTGGAAGGGCCGACTCCATGTTGTATTAGTTTGGACCATGTTGCAATATGTGCAAGGGTTGTTTTGGACTAGCCCGATATCCTTGGGGAGCTCCGCCAGTCTCAGGTTGGCGTTGTACCTTCTGTTCGCAGTCCGTGGAGGGTTTTGAGGACTCTGCCTCTACACACGCACACACGCGCTGCGGTCTGTTGGCCCATTCTTCCGCGTGTCCCTCAGGACGACCCAATCACCATCTTCCCGGTGGGCCATGATGGCTCCACGGCATCCCAGGCCCAGTCAGACGGAGCTGATGGGAGGTGCTGAGGTGCTGACGGTGCCAACAGGCTTATATATACATATTTATGGTAGATCCATCGGGGGGGGGGGGGTGCATATATATATATATATATATATATGTATATGTATGTATTATGTATATATATATATATATATTCAGACACATACGCATCGGGGAGCACCAACACCACTTGGAGGGCGTCTTGATTCTGGAAAGAAGTTTAGTTTCCGTCTGCTTTCTCTCCTCTGAGTTTGATTTGTTTCTCCGTGATTTTTGTGAAACACGGTCCCAGTTTCGCCAGGACATGGAAAGGCACTTGAGCAGGTGGCTGGCCGGCATCATGGCAGAGGACCAGCCCCCCGACCAGACAGTTTTTCCCAAAAGCATCTCTGATGCTTGGGTTCTGCTTTAGGTTTTCTCTTAAGGTGCCTGGGAGCGATACAAGCTGTGACGACGGAGATAAGAAGGGATTTCCATTTCGTTGTGCTGCAGACCGGGCGTGCGATGCCGGCTGGGGGTGCAGACCGGGCGTACGAGGCTGGCTGGGGGGACGGCGGTGTGGGGCTGGCTGGTGGGACGGCGGGTGCGCGAGGCTGGCCCGCGAGCGAGAGAGACTGGCGCGCTCGTGACATGCGGAAACCGCCCGCGAGCGAAAAATGGTGACATGCGGAAACCGCCCGCGAGCGAGACTGGCGCGGTGGACGCTCGTGACATGCGGAAACCGCCCGCGAGCGAGACTGGCGCGGTGGAACATGCGGAAACCGCCCGCGAGCGAGACTGGCGCGGTGGACGCTCGTGACCTGCGGAAACCGCCCGCGAGCGAGACTGGCGTGGTGGACGCTCGTGACATGGAGAAACCGCCCGCGAGCGAGACTGGCGCGGTGGACCCTCGTGACATGCGGACGGTGGAACATGCGGAAACCGCCCGCGAGCGAGACTGGCGCGGTGGACGCTCGTGACCTGCGGAAACCGCCCGCGAGCGAGACTGGCGTGGTGGACGCTCGTGACATGGAGAAACCGCCCGCAAGCGAGACTGGCGCGGTGGACATGCGGACACCGCCCGCGAGCGAGACTGGACTGGCGCGGTGGACGCTCGTGACATGCGATACTGGCGCGGTGGACGCTCGTGACATGCGGAAACCGCCCGCGAGCGAGACTGGCGCGGTGGACGCTCGTGACAGGCGGAAACCGCCCGCGAGCGAGACTGGCGCGGTGGACGCTCGTGACATGCGGAAACCGCCCGCGAGCGAGACTGGCGATGTGGACGCTCGTGAGCGGAAACCGCCCGTGAGCGAGACTGGCGCGGTGGACGCTTGTGACACGCGGAAACCGCCCGCGAGCGAGACTGGCGCGGTGGACGCTCGTGACAGGCGGAAACCGCCCGCGAGCGAGACTGGCGCGGTGGACGCTCGTGACATGCGGAAACCGCCAGCGAGCGAGACTGGCGCGGTGGACGCTCGTGACATGCGGAAACCGCCCGCGAGCGAGACTGGCGCGGTGGACGCTCGTGACAGGCGGAAACCGCCCGCGAGCGAGACTGGCGCGGTGGACGCTCGTGACATGGGGAAACCGCCCGCGAGCGAGACTGGCGCGGTGGATGCTCGTGACATGCGGAAACCGCCCGCGAGCGAGACCGGCGCGGTGGACGCTCGTGACATGCGGAAAACGCCCGCGAGCAAGACTGCGCTCGTGACATGCGGAAACCGCCCGCAAGCGAGACTGGCGCGGTGGACGCTCGTGACATGCGCAAACCGGCGCGGTCGACGCTCGTGACATTCGCAAACCGCCCGCGAGCGAGACTGGCGCGGTGGAACGCTTGTGACATGCGAAAACCGCCCGCGAGCGAGACTGGCGTGGTGGACGCTCGTGACATGCGGAAACCGCCCGCGAGCGAGACTGGTGCGGTGGACGCTCGTGACATGCGGAAACCGCCCGTGAGCGAGACTGGCGCGGTGGACGCTCGTGACATGCGGAAACCGCCCGCGAGCGAGACTGGCGCGGCGGGCGCTCGTGACATGCGGAAACCGCCCGCGAGCGAGACTGGCGCGGTGGACGCTCGTGACATGCGGAAACCGCCGCGAGCGAGACTGGCGCGGTGGAGCTTGTGACATGCGGAAACCGCCCGCGAGCGAGACTGGCGCGGTGGACGCTCGTGACATGCGGAAACCGCCCGCGAGCGAGACTGGCGCGGTGGACGCTCGTGACATGGCGGAAACCGCCCGCGAGCGAGACTGCGCGGTGGACGCTCGTGACATGCGGAAACCGCCCGCGAGCGAGACTGGCGCGGTGGACGCTCGTGACATGCGGAAACCGCCCGCGAGCGAGACTGGCGCGGTGGACGCTCGTGACATGCGGAAACCGCCCGCGAGCGAGACTGGCGCGGTGGACGCTCGTGACATGCGGAAACCGCCCGCGAGCGAGACTGGCGCGGTGGACGCTCGTGACATGCGGAAACCGCCCGCGAGCGAGACTGGCGCGGTGGAGGCTCGTGACATGCGGAAACCGCACGCGAGCGAGACTGGCGCGGTGGACGCTCGTGACATGCGGAAACCGCCCGCGAGCGAGACTGGCGCGGTGGACGCTCCTGACAGGCGGAAACCGCCCGCGAGCGAGACTGGCGCGGTGGACGCTCGTGACACGCGGAAACTGCCCGCGAGCGAGACTGGCGCGGTGGACGCTCGTGACATGCGGAAACCGCCCGCGAGCGAGACTGGCGCGGTGGACGCTCGTGACATGCGGAAACCGCCCGCGAGCGAGACTGGCGCGGTGGACGCTCGTGACATGCGGAAACCGCTCGCGAGCGAGACTGGCGTGGTGGACGCTCGTGACATGCCGGCGAGCGAGACTGGCGCGGTGGAGGTGGACGCTCATGACATGCGGCAACCGCCACGTGCGCGGCTCCATGTGAACAGCCCGGCGCTCCAGGTACGCCATAATTGTCCTTTTTGCCGCACACCTGACCCGAACAAACGGTGCCAATGTGTTTCTAGGACGGACCCTCTCTTCAGAAGCTGTAGCCTCTTGGGGTTCGCCCTACTTATTTGGAAGCAGCCTGGAAGCACGTTGACATGAATATGCTGAGCACACTCGGCCCAAACAAAAGGGCGCATGAACACTGACCCCGGTCTACGCAGATTGTGGTAACACTGTGTCTCAGACTTGTTTCGCCCACCAAGTGACCGAGGCTTGTCCACACCGAGCCCCCCGCAAAAGCGCAGCGCCGGCCCCGTCTCCACACACTTGCGGCGAATCCACCCAACTTGCCATCCACACGCATCCAATTGACAACGTGTGCGGCCCATTCCACAAAGTCACCAGTTGCAATTGGTTGCGAATGGGAAAATAGGTGGAGAAACTAACGAATCCAAGCAAGCATACGAAGCAAGTTTGTGAAGGCCACGTGCACGGCTGCATGTGAACAGCCCGGCGTTCCCGGTGCGCCAAAATTGTCCTTTTTGCCGCACACCTGACCCGAACAAATGGTGCCAATGTGTTTCTAGGACGAACCCTCTCTTCAGAAGCTGTGGCCTCGGGGTTCGCCCTACTTATTTGGAAGCAGCCTGGAAGCACGTTGACATGAATATGCTGAGCACACTCGGCCCAAACAAAAGGGCGCATGAACATCCGAACAGCTGACCCCGGTCTACGCAGATCGTGGTAACACTGTGTCTCAGACTTGTTTCAGACAGGCGTCAGACCCACCAAGTGACCGAGGCTTGTCCACACCGAGCCCCCCGCAAAAGCGCAGCGCCGGCCCCGTCTCCACACACCTGCGGCGAATCCACCCAACTTGCCATCCACACGCATCCAATTGACAACGTGCGCGGCCCTTTCCACAAAGTCACCAGTTGCCATTGGTTGCGAATGGGAAAATAGGTGGAGAAACTAACGAATCCAAGCAAGCTTACAAAGCAAGTTTGTGAAGGCCACGTGCACGGCTCCATGTGAACAGCCCGGCGTTCCAGGCACGCCAAAATTGTCCTTTTTGCCGCACACCTGACCCGAACAAATGGCGCCAATGTGTTTCTAGGACGAACCCTCTCTTCAGAGTCTGTGGCCTCTTGGGACTCGCCCTACTTATTTGGAAGCAGCCTGGAAGCACGTTGACATGAATATGCTGAGCACACTCGGCCCCAAACATAAGGGCGCATGAACATCCGAACAGCTGACCCCGGTCTACTCAGATCGTGTTGTAACACTGTGTCTCAGACTTGTTTCAGATGGGTGTAGAGCGAGCTTATGCCTTGCTTCCAATTTGGGAGTGGTAGTTTGTGCGGATCCATTTTCGGATTTCTGCGATTCATTCTTCATGATGAATCGGATGACTTCGTGCCTTCCATGTAGTGCGGGGCCTGTCATGTTTCACCCGTGCCTTTGCCTTTTTCTCTGTGCTTGGTCAGAGCACAGGCTGCTGGCTGCCAATCCGGCTTGAGTCGCGGTTGCTCCCTGTTTCGGGGTTGATTTCCCAACTGTGAACAACTTAAATCTTGGTTTGCCTTCGGACCCTTGAGCCGGAAAACAACGGGATCCACATGCCGCGGGGAGTTAGGCTGGTTTGCTTTTGGGTTCCCGGGCTCCTCTTGTTTTGGGGGGGGAGACTGACAAATGAGATGGTGCCATTTTTCCCTTTTGTTTAGTGGGGTCACTTGAGATGAGTTGATTCAGTTTGCAGAGGATGGACATTTGGCAGAGTCAGATGCGCTGAAGCCTTGGAATCTGCTCCCAGGCACCAGCTGCTTCAGGTGCAGGAAGAGCAGCGCAGGGCCAGGCGAGGTACGGCTCGTTCGACTTGATTCTTTCGTGTGCATCCGATACATCCGCATAGGTGTCCCTTTTGGTTGGTTTGCTTAAAACATAGAGGGCCCTGGTTTAGATGGGGTTTATTACATTAAACCAGGGCCATCTATTTTTCCAAAAGGCCACCTATGTACATCCGCATCCCAATTGCTCATCTTGTCTCATCTTTTCTCGCTCAGGAACGATGAGGCCTTCGAGAGCTGGAAGCGCCGAAAGGCCGAAGTAAAATTCAGAATGAGACTCGCCATCTGCCGGTCTACACTTGCACGCATCTTCTGCTTCCGATGGAACATGCAAGCATCTTCATTTTCAACCGTTGAGTTGCATAAGCAAGCGACTGAGCGTGGTGCCAGGCTGCAACTCCTACAAGAAAGCAGGCAGAGCTGACACAGCTTGGTTGTTTGTGTGCTGGAACGGTGAGACTACCCTTTCCCTGGCCAGAATGACATAATTTGATGCATGGGAAAGAGCCGCCCCTTGCACAAGTTCTAATTGAATTGATGTCACCCATGATACCAAAGCGCATCGCGCTTTTGTCATTTGTGTTTGCCCAAAGCGCTTCCTGGACTGCTCGCAGGAGTGTGAGAGCAGACGCCGGTCAAGACCAAGGCAGGAAGTGGGGCGTGGGTGCTGTGCCGTTAGCGGCAGGTGTTGAGGCTGATCACTTATTCCGCATGTCATCGGTTGATTTTAATGCCTACCCTCTCTTTCAGTAAATGCGCGCCTCAGTGGCCAAGCTCCAAGAACTTTAGGGCATTGGCCCTTGTTCACGAACAAGCCCTCGCCGCACTTGTCGCACCCATTTCAAGCATGTTGAGCCTCTCCTCACAGATTTTGCGCAGGGCGAGTCGAGAGCAGTGCGAGCAACACTACGAGGCCGGCGGTAGCCTGCTTGTAGACGAGAAACTCCATCGATTGAAATTCCTTGGACATGGCACGCAATCCATCGCGGCCCTCAACAGTTTTGTTCAGGTACTTCATGTTGTGGAGCTTGTAGCTGAGGGTTGCTCGAACCTGGGGTTGACCCTGTCCAAGGGTGGCAAGATCAAAGCAAGGCCTGGTGCCGCCGCTACGACGCCAAGCGGCCTGAGGGAAGTGCGCGGGAGCTGCACAAAGAGCCACCTGATGCTATTCGTGAGCTGTCAAAGCCACATGCATGCGAGCAAGCGCGGTACGTTGCGGTAAGCTTTGAGCACTGAGCTGACGGCCAAAGAGGGGACTCGGGGCACTGCAATGTCACCAGGGTCCATGCCGTCTTTGCGGATTTTCGTGTTCAGCGTAATTTGACGACTGCAAAGAAGTTGTGCAAGATTTGCAAGGTCCTGGCAGTGGAACATTGGCAAAGCAGTTTGGAGTCTGATGACAATCGGGGAATAGGGAAGCGATATTCACATCTTGCTACGACCAATAATTAGTGCCTGTAGTTTTGCAGGCCTCCCGCTCGCTTTGATTGTGCTGCGGCATTTGCTGGCAGAAGCTGGAGCAAAGTGCGTGTAGGCTCAAGGATCACCCACACTGCAGTCACGGGCCGCAGCGTGCTGCGCCACCAGGCGTTATGCCGTGTTTGTGGGGTTCTACACTGAACAGGAGCCGCCGCCTGAGATTTCATTGACAGGGTGCCTCACATGGCAGCACGTCATGCCAGCGAGCAAGGAACCCAGTCAGACCAATGGAGCCCCTGAACCCCAGTTACGGACTTCTATGCAGGCAACAGCACAAAGCCAGAACTGCACTTACTTGATCTGAGGGCCCAACAACATGGACAACGACTACAAGGGGAAGGACGTGGAATCTTTGCGGCTTTTCAGTGACTTTAATGGATCCTTCCGTAATTCTATAATGATCACGCTGAGAGTGCCTGGAGGAACTTGCGATTTGCTTGGCAGTCCATGTACTGTATTGTGTTTGGAATATTTCTGGCGGTGGGCAACGTTTCGGACCAGACCCTGACCTGGTCAAGTTGCCTGTGCAGGATGACAAGCTCGTGTATGAGCATGCGGTGCTTCCCAGCGAAGGGGAGGACGGCCACCACGATGAAGACGTGGGCGGATTCGGCTTCAACTTTCACAGCCTTCTCCACGCTTTGCTCACACAGCAGCGGAAGCGAGACGACATTTGCCATCTCTGTTTCTCCCAGGAAGTGAACGATGCGAAGCGTGTCACCGCGCCTTCTTGCCGTGCGCTCTTCGGGTCTTGCGGAGCGGGGGGCAGGAGGGGGGGGATGGAGATTGGATGCGACCACTTTGCATTGCACTGGGCTTTGCGCAGCCAAGTTGGGCACACATTGGCTGTGAAGAAGAATTTCAAGTGTGTTCAATTCAAAACGTCCTGCCAGCTTGCTATCCGATTTTGAGTTTCTCTGACTGTCCGCGCAGCCAAAAATTGCCTCAGAGCCACGCACCACTGGCCATGGCTTTCCGTCCAGTGCCGCTGAACTTGGATTTCAGCCAGGCTGCCCGACTGAAGTTGCAGCCCCCTGCAGCCCTTGCAAAGTGTCAAGTGCTGGGAGCCGATTGTTCTTCTAGATTCCCAAGACTGCATGCTACTGCTTCCTTTTGGACATGTTGAGCACTGAGGCGTGCAGCACGCAAACACGGTCAGGTTTCCATGGTTGTAGAAACACAGCCAGAGTTCACCTGTTCTTGCTAATACGCTTCACACGCCACGGACTGCGCGCCACAAACAAAGTAGTTCAAAGCGTTCCCACAATGTTCCAAGCCAAACGCGTGTCAAGTGTAGAGCAGGCGCCCTTCAATCATTTCATGAAATGTAAGCTGGGAAAGAAAGCATTGTTTAGCTTTGGAACAGCCTTTCAGAGCGGTCTTGTGACATGGGTACATGCTAGCATTTGGGAATTTGTTGCGCCAGGACCAGGACTTTTGTACAGACATTCCAAGTCTGGGCAAACCTTCTTGTGGCAGAACACACATTCCCAACGTCTTGTGGCCCGCATCACACTTCGCATTTCCGCCCCTGGCTCCACTTTCACTGCTCTTTGGGATACACGAGCAGGTACCCGCAATAGCCAAGCAAACGTTGTGGCAGGAAGGAAAGGGCAGGTGTGTGGGAAGCAGGGACGTAGGCGCCCCCCGTCAGACGCCAACAACCTAGCGTGCTAGGGCTATAACATATGCACATTCACTGCTTTCGGCCGTGCTGACATGCAGTGAGTTGTGCACAGCAGGATATCTATCAATCTCCGATGCCGCCAAAAGCAGAGTGTCTCTCAACATGATGGGGCCCCTATTGGCGGCTCTCCAAACTAAGTCAAACGAGCGGAAGCACACACACACACAGCCATCACAAACGCAGCCCACTTGAGCAAAATGTTTCGACTTTTGACTTTTGATTGATCGGCTTGTCTTGCAGCCTCAAGCTGCACAGGTTGTGCAAGACCCTGCACGTTTCTTCGTGCAGCCCTTCGCAGACCCTCGGGCGGCAGGCGCACGCGTGTTTCTTCAAGCCATTTGCTGTCAAGCCCGTGCTGGAACGCTGTCGTTTGGGTCACTGAGCCCCTATGCGTGGTAATCCTTGACAATGAACTTCGTCCCGTGTGATCCAGCCGAACTGGATGATGTCCTCTGCCACGCCTTGCCGCTCAAAGCGCCTTTCCTATACCGTGGCCCAGGTGCTTATATGTGGCCAGAAACACCCGGCCTAGCGCCATTCAAAGATGCTCGGTTGCAATTGGCACAGATGGACCGTGGCCTGTGCCATGCCGTCAGTGTAGGTGTGCGCTCATACAAGCTAGCTGACACAGGACAGCTTCGTGCCATCACAATCAGGCATGCATGCAAAGCAATACATACTGCACCGCATTGAATCATGGGGCATGCTGAAGCATCGCGGACGTGCTCATGAATAGAAACGTGCACCTGGAGGTTTCTTTCGCATTGATGCTCCTACGCTTCAGCTGGTTTTGTGGAGTGGATGCCATGGACGATAGATCGTGTTCAGGTTCAAGCCGGTTTCGAGTGACAGCCTCAGGAAACGCAGTGGAGCTCAACTCCAGACTCGAACGCAACTTTCCCAGGCTGGAAATATCTCAAATGTTGAGACAGCAGGCAGAACATGTTTCATTCTTTGGGATGAATGGATGGTATGATTTGGACCAATCTTGGACTTTCGATTTGAAATGGAGTTACCAAATTGTCATAATGCATTTAAGGGCATGTGAAGGGCATGGCAATGGCCAACGCGTTATTTCTGGTGGCGTGGGGGGGGCGTGCTTTGAGCCGTCTAGGTCTTGAAGATGCCAGGCCTGCCGGGCTGGTGGGCCTGACTGTGATCGTGCGTTTGTACTTGCACCATATCAAGCTTCTTGCTTGCCTGTCAGGACAACGCTGGTGCTCAAGAATTTGCCTAGCCATTACGACAGGAATGCTCTGAAATACCTTCTAGAGGAGCAAGGCGGGCATGGGTTCGCCGCGAACGGTCAAGCAAGGCTCCTTGAATTTGGTCTTCTGAGTTTTAGATTGGTTCTCGCAATAGGCCGCAGGGCATAGCTTTTCGCTTTTCCACTGGCATGCGGTGTTGTAGACGCAGTGCGGAGCTCGTGTCCCACCCATTGGCACAGTACAACGTGTTTAAGATGGGCAATTCACAGATGGTAGCTTGGTGTCAATCTTTCGACAATATTCCTTCGGGTCTCTTTGCGGCATCATGCAGCATTCCTGACACTTGCTAGTTGTGCACCAGTCTTGCTGGATTGCTTTCAAAGTCTGAGCAAGTAAGGGCTGCGATTGTGCGTGGACTGTAGCGCTTTTCTTCTCTCACTTACGATGGTTTCATTCGTTCGTATTTAACAACAAGCGCAAGCACACTTGTGCTTCAAGTCTCAGTCCCCAAGTCCGGGTAGTCTCTGGAGTGAAATGGAATTTGTTTTGAGGCCTCCGCGTAGATCCCTCGAGCACCGTCGAGCTAGCATGCTCAAACAAACATTGTGATCGGCTCAATACACACGGAACACTTGTCGAGCACACAAAGAGGCAGCTCAGTGCAAATAAACACATTCCCCTGTTGACTTTGTTGCATCCATGCGATTGTTGTATATTGTGCCTTTTCGTCATTTCAGCTCGACACAGCCTAGAGCAAGACGGCAGCACGAAAATTGCTTCACTTTGCTTGCATTTTGCAGTCATGGGGTTTGTTGCGCTCCCCGATCCTGCACCATGGCAGCGCTCATGATTCTGGGAGATGACTTCCGAGACAGGGGAGGAGCTTACGCTGGAGTATGTCGCCGTGAAAACGGCCGACCAGCTTGGTGAGGTCCTCAAGCGGAAGTGTGGCAGCAGCAAGGACTTCTGGTTCGGATTCCTGGCACGTGCAGACCACGAGGAGCTGGCCCGGAAGCTGCCAGGGCTACAGGTGGGCCCCTTCTGGGCAGCGGAAGCCTTCACGCATTGCTTCGCTTCCTTGTCTGAAGACGCCGAGACCGACTTTGCCCGGCTGACGGAAAAGTTTGGCCTGGGGCAGCGAAGCAGAAGACCCAACAGGCGATGCCCTGGCCAGGGCATCGTTTTCTTGCTGCTGAACACCCGCGGCTTCTCCAAGCTGTACAAGCGCAACATTGAATTGGCCGCAGCGCCCAAGACAAAGCAGACTGAGCGCAAGCCAGGAAAGCGGGCACGAGACAAGGAGAAGGACAAGGAGAAGCGTGCCAAAAGTCGACTGGGCACGAGGACCATCGATGCGGAGCAGATCCTGCAGGATGCGGAAGCGAGCCGCGACTCCAAAAGGGTCTCGGCCTCGGTGGTCATTGACCCTCTTGGTGACGACTGCGCCGGCAGCAAGGCTGAGGCGCAGCCTTTGCCTTCGCAGGCCGGGCTCCGCCCGCCAGATCAGCGCCAGGTCGCTGTGATCACCAAGCGCCTGCAGGAGCTCCTGCCGCAGCTACCCGTGGAGCAGCTCTCGACGGCTTTGGCGCTCACCAAGCTGGAGGAGAGCTTCCGCAAGAAGAAGGGCCGCTTTGATGCTTTCAGACCGGACATCGAGCGAATCATCATCTCCTACATGGCAATACATCCGTCCAGAGCGCAAAGATGGAAACCTTCCGCTCCGGAAAGCAAAGTCCCAAGCTCGCCCACCAAGGCGAAGCTGCCAGCCTCACCCGCAAAGGCCCAAAGCCGGCGAGCGTCAAGTGAGCCTGGAGAAGAGGTGGAGCTGATCTCTGTGCATTTGGCGCCCAGCCAAGAGACACAGGAAAGGCCCCAGGACGTCCAAGCTCCAGAAGCATTGAGCTTGGAGATGCCGGAGGCAGAGAGCGTCGACCAAGTCGAGCTCTCAGACGAAGAAAGTGATGGAAGTGATGGAAGTGATGGAAGTGATGCTATGGAGGTGGACATCGACGGCTTCCAGATCGCCTTGGCGCAGCTGCGGGACGCGAGCGACCCCCGAGATGCTTTGGCCGTGTTGGGGGCGCTGCGCTCACGGCGAGCGACGCCCACCACGGAGCTGCTGGAGTGGGGCGCCTGGGAGGCGGCCCTGGGCGCACACGAGCGGATGGCCTGCAGCCGGCGGGTGACGCGCCTGGCGCGGAAGATCCGCGAAGAGTGGAAGATCCGGCAGCAGCGAAGCCGCCACGGCGAGCGGATGTTTCAAACGGCCCTGACCGCTCTGGAGCAGCTGACCCGAGCCAACGAGTCATGCTGCGCTCCAGACGAGCACTCTTCACATTAGCCGCGCATTTGCAGACAGGACGACACCAAGCCCAGATCCTTTTCGTTGAGCAACATTTGATCACTAGCACCTCCATGGCTGCCCAGGCTGAAAAAGAAGTGGAGGCCAAAACATGAATGTGTTGAAATGCTGTGATGCCACAGCACCAGTTGCGTGCAACATCTTGCGAGAAGTAAGCACAAACAACGGTTTTGTGCACCCAACGCCAACAGGTTTTGACACAGGGGTTCTTATCAAGGCAAGTTTACTCATTTTTTGTACATGTTTACTTCACCATACAACGCACGCCACCTCAAGTTGCAGCCCTGATTCACTTGGCTTCGTGTAACAAACCAGATTCTTGTTGCAGTTGAGGTTGGCACCTTGACTATGTCCAGCCTTGCTGACGAATGTGTTTGCACAAATCATTGAATGCTTCGCTAATTGTTCATGCAACGTTCCACGCTAATTCCTCACTGGACCTTTACTCCTGTACCTTGGGTTTGCACTTGAAAAGCTG